CCTCTCTGCCCTCCCCCACTTGTGCTTTCTCTCTCTCTCTCTCAAAAATAAACATGAAAAAATTTTTTCTTTCACCACTTTTATGTCACAGTTGTTTTAAAACAGTATTAAATACCACAAACACTATAAAAGAATAGCTAATGGTTCTTACAATTTGGCACTGGGTAAGTTCAGAGAAAATAAAAACCAGGAGTCAATATGAGATGATTTCGGTATAAACAATGCTGCAATGCTGAGATTTCACTTCTGAGGAATAGCACCGTGTTAGGGAACCTCTGTAGCGTCTGGTTAGGTAGATGGTCTACCTGTGGAACCTGCACACATTTGCTGTAAAACTGTAAACAAAGGGATTTTGGTATGGATGATATGAAACAAAGACGGAGAGATATCTTTTTCAAAAGCTCTCAGGAGCACACAAATATTAAAGGAATTTTGTAAAGTATGCAAAAAAAGAAATGCCAGAAAACAGAACATTACCAACAGACCATAATATAAAATTACAAATTAATCATAAAGCAGGGCACTGGGTACCTTAATTAAGTGTCCTACTCTTGATTTTGGCTTAGGTCATGATCCCAGGGTTGTGGGATCTAGCCCTGCGTTGGGCTCCAGACAGACTGTGGAGCCTGCTTAAGTTTCTCTCTCTCTCCCTCTGTCCTTCTCCCCTGCTCACCCACTCTCTCTCACTCTCTCTTAAAGAAAAAATTAAAAGTAATCATTAGTCACAAAAGCCAGTCAAAACTTCCAAAAATGAATGGATTGAGGACGATTTAGTGAAATTAACAAAATATTTTCACCTGAATTGCCATATATATATGCACATGTCAAAACATACAAAATGCAGATGAAATGTTCACTTGAGGGAGAAGGAGTGAAAATTAAACTAAGCAATCAGTTTAAAACGTTAGGAGAATAAAAGTAAATCCAAAGAAAGTAGAAATAAATACATGATAAAAAGCCTGTGTGAAAATTAATGACAATGAAAATAAATGATAAAAGCAACAAAACAAAAAGAGGGGCATTGGAAAATGGTCATTTCCAACCTCTGGCCAGATTAATCAAAGAAAATAAACCAAAAATATGCTATGTTTGGTAAAATAAATTGGACAAAACTTCAGATGAAATAGTGTTAAAAGAATAAAATGCTGTACATACAAAGGTATACTGTAAAGAGTTTAAAAAGAATTAGATATACATTTACAACCAGGTAAACTAGAAAAATGAAAACTACAGAAGTATTCCTAAAATATGTTACTCTTTATGTAAATATTTAGAACATACAAAGCAATACTATTATTTTTTTCGAAACACAAATGTACTAACAGTACAAAAAACGTGAATAAGAAGTTTACTCTTCTGGGCAGGAAAAAACGAAATCAGAAGAGGCTACTAAAAAACCAAAAAAGCCTAACCAATATAAGATATATATATGTTAATGCCAGTTGTAGGCCTATGGGTGTTTTAGGCTCTACACTTTTCTATGCTTGGAATGTTGTGTAGTTTCTGTTTTTAAATTTTTTTTTTACTTTGTTTTAACGTTTTATAGATTTCTGAGAGACAGAGCATGAGTGGGGGAGAGGCAGGGAGAGAGGGAGACAGAATCGGAAGTAGGGTCCGGGCTCTGAGCTGTCAGCACAGAGCCCGCCTTAGGGCTCAAACCCAAGAACCCGTGAGGTCATGGCCTGAGCCAAAGTCGGATACCCAATGACTGAGCCACCCAAACTCCCCTGTTTATTTACTTCTAAGAAAGAGAGCACACAAGCGTGTGCACGGGGGAGGGGCAGAAAGAGGGGGAGAGAGAGGCTCAGAAAGGAGCTCTGGACTGACAGACGTGAGTCTGATGCGAGGCTCAAACCCACCAACCGCAAGACATAGACCTGAGCCCAAAGTTGGATGCTTAACCAACTGAGCCACTGAGACACCCTGAAATGTGTAATTTAAAGAAACCCACACAAACTATACGAAATCCTCTTTTTACCTCTCAAAGCTGTTTTCACAGTGCGTCTGTCCCACCCACCCCTGCCCTATCATCTTCCGCATCTGCACCACCTGACAACTTGTTAAAAATGCAAATTTTCAGACCACACCCCAGCCCTACAGAATCAGGAACTCTGGAGGTGATGTCCAGCACCGATGTTTAACAACTCTTCCAGATGACTCTGATCGATGCTTAAGTTTGAGAACCACTGTCTTAGAAGAACATTTGTCTAAACTCTGGCTAGGAACTCTCAGACATCACTTTCACCTGGGGCTGCTTGTCAAAAATGTAGAATCCGATTTCATAAGTCTGGGATGAGGTTCAGGAATCTGCACTGTGAGTGATAAAAGTTAAAACCACTGTTTCCAAAGGTAGGTTTTCGGTGGCTGCTCAATGAGCAATCCACAACCCACAGAAAACGCTAAAGGGAGGAGGAAATGCCTCATTCCATGTCACTCTCCACCCCTGTTCACTGGGTCTCAGCCCCACTGTAAAGGATGCTTTGATCTGGCTAATACGGACAATGAATTTTAGCAGCCCTGTTTGTGCACTCTGTTCTCATGACTAAGCAAAAGAGCGTCCTTTTAAACTTCAGTTTTGTAAAATAGTTAAAAACATTTTCCGTCAATGATATAGTTAAACTTTAAAAGTGGGGGCACCTGGGTGGCTCAGTCAGTTAAGCGTCCGACTTCGCTCAGGTCATGATCTCACGGTTCGTGGGTTCAAGCCCCATGTCAGGCTCTGTGCTGACAGCCAGCTCAGATCCTGGAGCCTGTTTCAGATTCTGTGTGTGTGTCTCTCTCTCTGACCCTCCCCTGCTCATGCTGTCTCTCTCTCTCAGAAATAAACTTTTAAAAACATTTAAAAAATTAAAAGTGTACTCATAGCTTTATCCCATTGTTATTTTAAATCCCATTGTTATTTTAAAGATATACATATATATACTTGTATGTCAATACAAATCCTTGAATGATGGACAGAAACTTAACCATGGTCATGACCAATATGTGGTTCTTTGAAGGGGATGCTGAGGATACTTTTACTTTTCATTTAACTTTCCTGAACTGTTAGAATTTTTTGCCACCTGTACTGATTACTTTTATATTTTACACTATTTCACTGATTCTAAAATGGTCTTTCTTCATGTTTACACAATCCTGAAATTGAGATGTTTCTTACAATCAACAGGTATGCCACAGTTTAAACACCAGCAGCATCTTTGTGTGCTTGTAGTACATTAATTAAAATGAATCATTTTTTAGTGTTTACTTATTTACTTTGAGAAAGAGCCCAAGCAGGGAAGGGGCAGCGAGGGAGAGAGGAAATCCCAAACAGGCTTGGCACTGTCCGTGTAGAGCCCCATGCAGAGCTCAAACTCACAGTGAGATCATGACCTGAGCCGAAATCAAGAGTTGTCTAAACTCTGGCTAGGAACTCTCAGACATCTGAGATTCTGAGCGGAAATCAAGAGTCTAATGCTTAACAGAATGAGCCACCCAGGCGCCCCTATAATGAGGCTTAAAATCAATGACATCTTAGGATGAATGAAAAATAGTGTAAGTTAGGGAGTGAGGAAATACATAATTTTAGTGGTTCACATCTACTCTTGGATATGTTTTCCTTGGAGAATTGAAAAGGGAAAAAAAGTTTTAAGTATATATGAGTTTTTCGGTAATTTATTGAGCAACTTCTATAGACAACAAGGCCCTGTGCTCCTAGGACGATAGGAGGAATACAGGGAATGAGACCATCTCCGCTGTCTTTTCTCCTAGTTTAAGTGTCAGGGCTCTCACTGGGGAATGACACTCACAAGGCGACAGCCCCTTTTTACAAAGCTGAAACCTGACCAGTGACTTTCAAGTAGTTTATCAACCACAGGGCGCAGAACACGGCCGCACAACCGAGAGGAGAAGGGGCTGCGGGTGAGCTTTCCCAGGAAAGGCCGGCTGAGGGGTCCCGCTTCCCGCCGCGAGCTCCTCCCTGCTCAGCCGCAGCCGCGACGTCCCCCAGTGTCATGCCACCTGGCGACTCGAATGTGGCCGAGTCGTACTCGGCCGTACACTCTTCCCAGAGAGTGCGAGGGACGCCTTCGGAGCACCCGGGCATCCCTAGGAGGCAGGCGCCGGAGCAGTGCCCGGGGGCGCAGGGAACGCGCCGCGGCCGCGCTCCCGAGACACGCCGCGCAGGTGCTCCAGCTCCCGGCGGGGCCGAGCGGCGCGCTCAGAGCACAAAAGGTTGCAGCCGCGCGGAGGGGGGGGTTGCAGCCGTGCGGGAGAGGGAGCGGGGGGGAGAGCGGCGGGAGGTTGCACTTGGCCTCGGCCTGCCGCGTTCCCCTCGAGGTCCGCCCGGCCGCGAAACCGTAAGTGCCCCACGCAGGAAAAGACTAACTTCACCAAATCAAGAGAGACGAATTTTTTAAAGTGTCAAAAAAATCTGTCCAAACATAAGGGCTCCTTCTCATTAGCGGCTACCTTGTCACTGCAGGATCAACTTTCTAGTCCAGTCCTCTAAGTGAAAGAACACGAGTCATTTGAAACTTTCCGCTAAATACCCAATTTCCGAAAGGGCAGCCGCTGCGGCTCGGGGCGGGAAGGTCTCGGCCGGGGCCGTGGGGGCCGGCGCCCCGGGCGCATCCTGCTCGGTGGTTCACTGCCGACGCCTTTGCTCCCCAGGAGGAGCAAATAAGCCAAGGGAACAGCCCCCGAGGCCTCGCGGCCCTGCTCCGAGGACCCCTCCGGTGTGAGTCACTGAGAGCTTCTCGGGTCACAGACGCCCAGAGGATAAACTGTCTCGTTTAGATTCCCCCGCCGAGCAGTGACCGGCTGCGGGACCTGGGCGGGGCGGGGCGCGCGGCGCACCGCGGGGGGCCGGGTCGCCCAAGCCCGGGACGGCCGAGCGGCGGCCGTGGGGCTCGCGGGGAGGGGGAGGGGAGCGCGCGGCGGGCGGCCAACGCCTGGCCGCGCGCACTCGGCGCCGGGGGGCGCCCTTCCCCGCTCGTTCGCGTCCGGGTTCCGCCCCCCGCCTCCGCCTGCGCCCTCAGAGAGCCACTGGACGCGCCACCAGACACGCCCGCCAGTGGGGCTTCGCTGAGCGTCCTCCCTCTGTCTCCGTGCGGCGAGCGGTCCGCCGGCCCGCGCGTGCGCCCCGGCCGACGGCCGGACCCCGCGGCGAGAGGGAGAGCGCACGGAACCGAGCGGCGCGGAGGCGGGGCCGTCTGCCCGAGCCGCGCGGAGCCTCGGGACAATGGGGCCGCGGCGGCTGCTGCTCGTCGCCGCGGGTCTCAGTCTGTGCGGCCCCCTGCTGTCGGCCCGCACCCGAGGCCGCAAGCAAGGTGAGAGCTTCCCCGGTTATTCGCTCCCTGCTCCTTGTGGGCCCCTGCAGCCAGGGCCCCCGCGGGCATGGAGCGGGCGGGAGAGGGGGCCAAATGGGGTACAGGCTGCGCCTTCCCCTCGACGGCGGTGCCCCTGGCCGCACCCTTTGTCTCAGGTCGCTCCAGAAGCCAAGCAGGTATTTGAGCCGAGATCCACAGTCTCCCCTAGTCGGATCCAGGCGGGGATTATGAGTCATGCCCCTTTGGACCTGATTTCGGAAGATGCAGCCTTCTGGAGACGTGGTTGGTGTTGAATAGGGAGGGGGAAGAAGTGGTCAGGTTTTCCTGGGGAAACCGGAGGCCCCCGGCCCCTCGTTGCTTTTGTGGTCACTGTGTGACCTGTTTCTCCCAGGACCACCCCAAAAAGAACGGGTCTCAAGTTGCTCCACCAGTCAGCGTTCTGGCCTTTTCAACATAAAGTGGAGCCGAAGTTTTGTTTTGCTAGAATTTTCTTGCACGTTTTGCGGCGAGGAAAATGGTGTAGAGAAAAGCTCAGTACTGGGGACATTTAGTAGAAAATCAATACCAGCAGCTTCTGACACGGGCCTTGTGTACGGGGAGGTGCTCGTGGTGCAGACTGTAGGGTGATCACAGGATAGCCACAGGATGGCAGTGGCTGGCGTCCGTGATGGTGTGGCTGGCGTCGGTGATGGTGGAGGCGGCTGGGAGGTTTTGTTACCTAGAACCCAGTCTTCCAAGTGAGCTGAGGAAAGAGAGATTCCCTCCCCAGATCCTGGCTCCCTTTGACACTATGCGAATTCAGTATTTCTGTTTCTGGCGTGCTGCAAGGAGGAGGTTGCTCACCTAGAATACAGTTCTCACCATTGGTGTGTATTCTTAAGTATCTGGCTACTTGACCAATTAAATGTCCAAGCACTCCCTCCCCTCGAGAAAAAGCAGAACGGAGAAGTTTGTTTTTAACTGGTAAAGACTCGAGTTTGAAGCTGAGGGGGGAAAATGTTTCGATTTCGTTATAGATCGTACTTTGTAAGCTTTTTGCCCCCCCCCCTTTTTTTATCCATGTAGAAACAGATTCTAGCTGGCTTTCTTCTGGGTGACAGATTGTGTACTTGACATTGGTTTCACGCTGGAACCTAGTGTAGATGCGTCTAGAAAAAGGGGTGGCAGGGGTGCCTGGATGGTTCAGTTGGTTGAGCATGCTACTCTTGGTTTAGGCTCAAGTCATGATCCTAGGGTTGTGTGATTGTGCCTTTGTTAAGGCTCCTTGTTGACAGCATGGAGCTTGCTTGGGATTCTCTCTCTCCCTCTCTCTCTCTCTTTGCCCCTCCCCTGCTCGAGTTCTCTCTCTCAAACAAATCTAAAAAAAAAAAAAAGAGTAAGGTGCAAAGAGATAGTGTTTTCTCTGCTCTCCGTCTTTGCTCAGGGTGAGTGTGGACATGGTGCTTTTGGGAAAAGTAGAAGCTTCAGCTGGGGCCCAGTTTTGCAGAAGCTAGGAGGCTGCTGGTGTTATCTCCTGGGGTGTTTGAGGAAACATGGAGAACTGAAAACTGTGTGATGTTACTTTTGCTGCATTCTGTGACTTTGTAATTTTGTTGGGGGCAAGTTTCTTGATAATACAAATTGTTGTTTGAGATTTGGATGGTGGGGTCAGGGACAAGTTGATACAAGCACAGTTCAGCCATAGTCACCTTTCCTCACAGTGGCCTCAGGGGAAGATTCCTGGCCTCTGTCAGGGAGTAAAGTTAAGGCTGCTCTTTGTGCTCTGCTTTCTTCCTCATTAACTGAGAAAGTGCATGATAAGAGGGGTAAGCGAGTGTAGATGGATAACTGAACACACGCACTGGCTAATTTGTCTACACTGGATTCTGGAACCACTTGGGGAGGTAAGGAAGAAAGGACGCTGAGGGAGGAAAAGGAACACGTGCAAAGTGTCCTGTTCCGTATCAGACCCTGGGCGGGAGGTGTTTGCACTTCCGAGTATCTTGATTTCACCCTCTCAGAACACATGGTCAAGACAGATGTTTATCTCCTATTGCCATTCTGAAACTAAGGCTCAGCGGCAGAATACCGAAATTCCAAACGGGGGAGGGGGCCTGCGGGAGGGGGCCTGCATGCAGGAAATAAGTGGGGCCTTGTCTTTAAAGAGTTTAAATCACTAATAAAATCAACTAAAAATAGGCCTGCTTTTTCTTATCACAGTTCACAGGCAGCTCTAAAGAGTATCTGTCATAACCAGCTGTATGCAACCGGAGGAACTGTAAGACCCCAGGCACTGGCAGGCCCTCCAGGCTGGCCCTGCCTACCAATTTGAGCTTTCCTGAAGCTCCCGAGACTTGGCATTTCCTGCATTGTCACTATGTGGGTATCTCATCTCTCCAGTTAAGATCATAAACTTCTATGTATCCCCAGGGAATCTAGAACCAATGTTCACTTAGCCGACATTTATTGAGGAATTTCTTAAGTTCATTAACTAGTTTACTTTCCTTTGTCCCCGCGATGTAAGTGACATGACTGGCCTTGATCGGAGAGGGCCAATATCCAAGGGGTGACGTGTGTAAATTTTATAAAGCTCTGGAGGGTGAAAGGGTTCAAGAGTAGCTAATGGTGACTGTGGCAGAGAGGGGTTGATTGGGCTGGAGATTCCACATGCTGCCCAGGTGCCCAGAGGGTCAAGCCCAACTCCTTAGCATAGAGTGAGGTACCCCTCCCCTTGCAGGAGAGGTCCCCAGCCTCTCTCCAGCCTCCTCTGTTACATAACCTGTTATATTATCGATATTTCGTCCAGCGCCACCCTTCACTTCCTCCTCCAAGGAGCTCCGCTTTCTCCGGCTTCTGTCCCCCTGCCACTCCCTCTTGCCAACATGCCCTCCCTTACACCCCACATTTTCACATTTAATTGAAAACAACTACTCTAAGGTGCCTGGGTGGCTCCGTCAGGTAAGTGTCTGACTTTGGCTCGGGTCATGATCTCACAGTTCTTCAGTTCGAGCCCCGTGTTGAGCTCTGTGCTGATCCTCAGAGCCTGGACCCTCAGAGCCTGGAGCCTGCTTCGGATTCTGTGTCTCAGTCTCTCTCTGCCCCTCCCCCACTCACACTCTGTTTCTCTCTCTCTCTCTCTCTCTCAAAAATAAACACTAAAAAAAAAAAAAAAACCAGCTACTCTGTAGGAAGTACCTACTACAGCAACAGCTTGCTTAAGTACATACACTTTCTTGTTTATTCCTCATGACAGTCCTTTGAGTAGATGTCATCCTCATTTTACAGGTAGGTAAACAGACCCCCAGATGATTAAGTCACCAGTCTAGCAAAGAGTAGATCTGGTATTTGACTACAGGCCTGTCTTTCCTAAGTGCAGGCTTTCTCTGTCCCCCACCCCACCCCCCATAGAGAGGAAGCCGTCCACACCCCCTGTAGAGAAGAGTAACTCTCCTGTGTTCTCCAGAAACCCTAAAGAGCAAAGTCTGCACCCCATTGGTCTGTAGCCCAGGCCTAGCACATGGAGGGGAACATTTATGCCTGGGTTGTGGTATCTTGCCATTTACTTTTGCAAAGCATGATAAGACAGCCCATAAATGCATCCCTACTCATGAATATGCTGATTAGCTGGCTATTACTGAGAGACTTAAGCCTAAATAAAAGGCACAAAACTGGACAACGATTCTGCCCTAAGCAGGCCAGAAACCTCTATAAAGCCTGAAAGCCAACTTTCTTATGAAATAGCAAGAAGTTGATTTCTACTCTAATATCTACCTTAATTAATTTCTTCCTTCTCTCTCTCTCTCCTTCCCTCCTTTACTTTTTTCATCCCCTATGCCTTTGACTTTATTTTTATAGAACATATAGAGATAATAGGTTCCTCCCTAAATTAGTCCACTCTTCCTTTGTGTGAGGGAATGTTTTTGAGGCGTGGGGGCCCTTTCTCAGGAATAGTCTCATGTCCTCTCTGCTGGGTGCCTTTCCACCTCTCTCTCCTTCTTTCTAATTCAGTATTTCTCAGCCCTTTATGTCTAAATGGATTGGTGTGCTGTGAACCCTAACTTGCACTTTCTCAGCAGCTCTGAATTTGCTCCTTTTCCAAAGTGCTTCTGGCCAGCTGTCCCGGTGCCCTCTCTGCCCCTTCCCCCTCCCTCACTTGGTTTATCTTTGTCCTTGTCACCCTCACACTGGAACTCAGCTGAGCCTTAAGTGAGTGGAGTTACTCAGAAACAATGGAGTCCCTGGGACCCTGGGTTTCTAATCATCCCCGCTCTCCTCTGTTTAGACACATCCCTCTTTTCCCTCAGAACTCCCATTTTCTTTCTGTCCTGAATTTTTTAATTGAGGCAAAATTTACAGAGTATTAAATTAACCCCTTTAAAGTATATAGTTTAGAGGTGCCTGGGTAGCTCAGTAGGTTAAGCCTCCAGTTCTTGATTTCAGCTCAGGTCATGATCCCCCAAATTGAGCTCTGCGCTGACAGTGGGGAGGATTCTCTCTCCTCTCTTTGAAAATAAGTAAACATTTTAAGAGCTGATAAAGCACTTAGTTAAGTGGTATTCAGTATATTTACAATGTTGTATAACCACCACTTCTGTCTACTTCCAAAATATTTTCATCACCCCAAAACAATTCCTTGAACCCCTTAAGCCCCCATTCTCCCCCCAGCCCCTGGCAACCACAGATTTGCTTTTTGTCTGTATGAGTTTACCTCTGCTCTGCATTTCTTTTTTTTAAGATTTTATTTTTTTAATGTTTTTATTTATTTTTGAGAGAGATGCAGAGCAAGTGAGAGATGGGCAGAAAGAGAGAGGGAGACACAGAATAGGAAGCAGGCTCCAGGCTGTGAGCTGTCAGCACAGAGCCCAATGTGGGGCTAGAACTCACGAGCCATGAGATCATGACCTGAGCTGAAGCCAGATGCTCAACCAACTGAGCCACCCAGGTGCCCCGATTTTATTTTACTTTTTAAATAATCTCTGCACCCTACTTGGGGCTTGACTTCATAACCCAAGGTCAAGAGT